TTTAAATTATAAGCATATAAAATTTTTGATACGTACAATTTTTAATAAATCATTCACAAATTATCTAATAATTAATAATTATTTTCAATATACAAGTATTTCTCATTGTATATCCAATTTTACATATATATAAAAATGAGAAGAAATAAAATTGGGATAGGAATTTTGAATATTTCTAAGCTCGAATAGATTTCGGCACGAGGTACCTGAGTTGCTTCAACTAACAAAACGAATTTCATCAACGATAGGGACGATCTTTTCCGGTCGTCAGGTGGATAAACGTCCCTGTGGTTGGTGAAGCGACAGGAAACGCAGGTGCAACATTGGTCGTCACTGAATTTACTTTACCTGAGAATGATAGAATGAGAAAGAAAGAAAGAAAGAGAGAAAGAGAGAAAGAAAGCCAGGTCAAAGATGTACAAACACGCCCTTCCTTCGTTCCATTTCTTCTTTATGCAGTCCGTACACGTCATAGACCATAAAATTCGAGGAACTTAAGATTAAGGGAGCGTAGCACCATGTCAGGTAGACGGAAATACAAACAAACATCCTATATACATATATATATATTCCCATACACACACACACACATACACATAATGTCAGGTAGACACAAATACAGACAAATATTAAACACCAACTAATACACACATGAGACAGATACCATATAGAAAATATTCAAGGTTAGTATAGTGTCATTAGCTAGATCTTTCATCGAAGGATTTTCCCTACGTGAACTCTGATGACGTTACCTCCATTCATAAGAATCACTATACAAAGGGGGAAGTGCTGCTGGGAGGTTGGAATTTTTTTTGTCGACCGATTCCTAAAGCCCGTTTTACTCTTCGTCGAAGGCGAAAGTCATCCGCAATACTACGCATATATATATATACGTCATACCAAAAACATTTCTTTTCTTTTTTTTTTTTCTTTTTCCTCCTTTTTTTTATTTCTTTCTTCTTTTTACCTTTCCTTATCCGATAAATCGAGAACACGTTTGTTTCGTTTCGTTTTCATTGATCATACAATGTATCTTTCTATGATTCCTAGTGTTATCTAACCGAATCGAAGATAAAATCGATGAGTTAAGAATTTTGGAGGAAAAAATTTATCCGAGAAGAACGAATTTATCGAAATAACTGAAAGATTGAGAGGATAAAAGGAAAAAAAATATACAAGTAGAAGAAGGATTTTTCTTTAGAAATATCTATGGCTATACCTGAAAGTTGCATTCTACTTTAAAAATACCTTTGGGGAAAGCAACTATGCGTAATATGAACCGATAATAAAGATTCTTAACGATTTCTATTAAATTTCATTTCATTCGATTTCGAGAACGCGCGTATAATATAAGATCTTGCTTGTTTGAAAGAAAATGGAGGAAGTGATGATAAAGAAAATTGTTGTTTGTTGGAAAAGAAAGAAAATAAGAGAGGCGTGTTTTCCTAAGAAGCTATAACATACCTAACGGGAACGCCAACGTGTATAGTATACCGCTTAATGTAATTCTAATTGACTTGGCCAAGTTCATTTAACTTGACCATACTGTTATAGATGCGACGTGGATATATCCGATAAGGTAATAGATTTTACGGAAGCCTAAACCTTCATTTAATATCATATTTTAATTTGTTTCACTGTAAATATATTCGATGTATCTCAATAAGGATCACTACATCAACGAAATACAACATTTTATTTCGCCAATATTTGAAATAACAAATTTTTGTTTAACAATACTTCAATCGAAAATTCATATTTTGAATTAAAATAGAACATATTGGCTTTTCTATTAAATCAATTTCGATTATTTCTTTCGTTTTGTATTTCTTTTTGTTTTCTCAGTAAAGTAAAAACCTACGAGACACCCTGTATAAGAAATTCTGAACCATACTGAAGAAATATATTCTTGGAAAAATTTCTTTCAACAATTTTTAATATCTATTTTGAATACACATTATTTGATCTCGTTTATATAGATATTGAAAATATTCGCATATCTTAAGTTAAATTAAAATTGGATTATAAATTACAAAATTTGATTATAATCGTTTGATTTATACGAGAGAATGGGCAATTTTATTCCATAAAAAGTGCACTACTTTATCCTATTCATCGGTAACACGGTAAAAGAAACGAAATGATTTAGCAGTGCCATCTAACGGATCAATATGACAAAAAAAGTTATTTTTATGACCACGATGGTAAAGAAGGAATAGATATAAAGTAAGAGTTGAAATTAAAAGCGAAGATTTCAATGCGTGGCGCGCATCATACTTTACGATACTCGATTTTTTTTTAAAATAATTGTATTACCATTGATAACAAATGTTAAAAATTTATCAATGAAAATCATACTTCGAAACTTTGTACATATCGATAAATACATATACATATAAATATATGTTTCAATCGAATAATTTAAATCAATTGCAATTCAAAATAACATTTTAGTATTATATTAAATTTATGCATTGGTGGTCGGCCATCATATAAAAAAACCAATCATAGGAAAAAGACTAAACTTATGTAGAGATGATACAAATGAATTAATAATAAATATATCAAAATTAAATTGACATAAACATAAATAATGATTACAAACTGACCTGAAAATTGCTTCGCGTTCGTCCGGTGTATTGAGAAAATTGCCGTCGTTAATCGCTGAAGATGTCGATCCTCGTGGCGACCTCGGGCCGCCCTCAGGTTCTCCAATCAGGACCTCTGTCCGGCCATTTTGGAAGGGACTGCTAGCACGGCGTTCCACTACTTTGTTGCTGCTCTGCACCGGTTGCTGCCAAGTGATAAATTCGATCAGTATCGTATACCTCCTCGTGAGTATTACGATCATATTGATCATACCAATTTCACATAATTCATATTTATATATATATATTATGGTGAACCAAAAGTTTGTGCGTTTGTTTGTATTTTTTTTTTTCATTAATATTTTTAAAGTAAATCTTACAAAAACACAATTCATTATGTAATTTATAATACAATCAACTCATGAAATTTTGGTTCACCTTAATATATTTATTAAATACTAATTTGATTAAAATCTTTCTATTTAAGATTCAAATATTTGTAATATAAAGTAATTAATTAATTTTTGTTCATTCATATATATTAGTATTTATATATGATCTTTTATTTTTTTTGACTAATATTTTTTATTCAAGTAAATTAATTTAATTGTGTACTCATTTTTCAATATAAATCTTAAATACAATTTTAAATTATCTTTTACACAAGTTATAACACGTTTTTCAAGTATAGATATGGTTTTGTTTTTTTTATTTATTTATGATACAAGTATACGCAACGTTATCTCAAGGTAACAGAAAAACCAAAAAAAAAACTATTTCAACGGATACTATAATTTTATATATAATAATATATATTAACACTACACTTAAAGGAAATACATTTTTTTTCTTGTATCATTATATCGATTCTTACTCAATCGCAAGGTTAGCTTTTTTTTTGTATATATATTTTTTTTCCTTTTCATTAATAGCAATTTAACTCTCGTCAATGTCACTGGACGTTGCTGCACGTAAGTTTCACCATCGGGATTTCCGGTAAATGGAAATAGACAAAAATAAGTGTGAAGTCATTACTTTTAAATGTGTAAAAGTATTTTGGTTATAATAACTTATAACCACATACGTATGTATATTTACCATACACGTATCTATGTATATGAATCATAATGAGTCTTTTTTGTTTTTTCTTTTGTTTCTACTTAATAATAAAAATACGATATAGTTATTAGCCGATATCTTTATAAAAGAAAAATCACGATAAATCAAGGACAAGTTGTCTATCGGAAAAAGAACTAATCAATATTCTTACTACACGTGTATATATGTATAAATTACAAAACGTAATTATACATTCGTGATTTATAGCTTAAACACTCACACACACATTCGCTTTCTATTCTTCTTCTTTTATTTTTCTATTTAACCAATTTTATTTAAATAATTTAATTATTCGACTGACCAATAGATTAGTTTCATCCGATGAATTTTGTTGTTTCTCCGAGACGTCCTTTCGTTCCTGTTGAATTTTCCCTTCTCTCGTGTCCTGATTTTCCTTGCTCACTCCTTTAGGTATCGTACCGTTACTGAGTTTCGACAAGAAAGCGTTTGTATTACGTACATCCCTATAATAACAAAAAAAAAAAAATACATAAACAAAAATAGAAAAGAAAAAAGAAATACAAACAACGATAGATTTTTAAATATTCGTAAACGAAGTGAAATGTAAAACTTACAAAAAAAAAAAAAAAAATAAAAATAAAAAAAAGGTTGAGAAAATATATTTTTCAGTCGACTATACGTATACGTAACAACGTATGAATACAGAGTGGATTTTGAAAGAAAATTATACTATATATCATCTCATCATATTGCAAAGTGTGAAAAGGACAAAATTAAAGGACTACATTTTAAACATACTATTTGTATGAAATATACAAAAATAACGTATCACTAATGCAATTATTAGTGTTTCACATGAATGAAAGAAAAAAGGGGGTTGGAGAAGGGTAAGAAAATAAAATGAAGTAAAAATTAAACGTCACGATCAAATGTTTCCATTTCAAATGATCATTCAAAAGAAATCTCGAGTAATGTAATACACTCTCTTTTCCAGATTAAAGGATAAAATATATATATATATATATATAAAAAAAAAAGAAAATACTTTCTTCCTTTTTCTTGAAGAATTTATAAGACGGTCAATCTGAAGAAGTACTCACTCATCCGCAAGGGTCACGGTGACCTGATTATTCGTTACATCTTTTCTCGTTCTTTCCTCGCTCGTGGATGCACCGGTCTCGTTTATCTGTAGAATTAAAATAGTCCGTTATGAATAATACATCATTCTCGTGAGAAACGATGAAAAGAGAAAGAAAGAAAGAAATAAAGAGAGAGAGAGAGAGAGAGAGAGAGAAATAGATGACGTAAAATATAACGAAAGTATTATACCACCAATGTTATCCGAAATGATAATGATTTTTTCACGTATCGATCATTCGGAAAATAATAAAAAAAGAAAAAAAGAAAAACATTTAATCAAGGATTATTATTAACGTATATTAGCATATTTGCATACACATATAACCTACGTTTATAAATATTAAAATTGCCTTGAGAAATTTTTTCTCGATTTATATATATAAATATTTATAGAAAGGTATACATTTTTCGGTCAACCTATTACAATATAATGCACTTTTGTAAATATATACATACATGTTATACATAGTTACTCTTATGTATGTATGTATATGCATATTTATCAAAAGAAAAATGCTATGAAATAGTTGGAAACAAAGAGAGATGGGAAGAAAAAGAAAGAAAAATATAAACAACAACAAGAAAATAAAAAGAGAAAGATTAAAAATCCTAAAGTCTAATAGTCCGATGGTAGCTTATTCGTTTTGCCTCGAGCAAAGCGCAACCAACGGCTTTGTAATCGTAATTACAACTCGACGCAAGCAGCACGTTCGCACGTTCACCTTCGCATTCCACATTTCATAGGCGATCCTACTTACAAAATGGTCGGGTGTCGATAAATATATTTTTCTTCTTTTTTTTTTTTTATTTAATGACGGTAAAAGATATCGTATTGTAATATCGTTTCGAATAATTAAGTAAACGTTCTCTTAAATTTTACGCGAAACAAATAAAATGTTTTAAGAAATGTATATAAAACAAATTTGATTACAGTGTCGTAAACTATCCGTTTGATAAAATAATTATCTAAAATATGTGAATTCACATCGAGAAGAATTAATAGTTAAAATATTAACGAGATAACATATATGTCACTGTATTAAGTCTACAAGACAAAATTCATGTTCCAAAGAATGGGCAAGGGTGTACATAGTCAATCTATATATATTATATATATATGTACCTGTATGTATTACACATTTGTATGACGTATGCAAGCGTACCTGTTTTTCCGATACGTCAGAACGATCGATCGTATATATGCTTTCTACGTTATACGCATAATAATATACATTGGAAAGTTTTTTTTTCTCTCTCTCTCTCTCTCTCCCCCATAAACTTTGACGTTTTTCAATTTTTGACTTATTTATATACGCACGTAAGAAGTTATACTTCTTTATCGTACCAAAACGAATATAACCTCAAAAATAAATTCAATTTTCCCGCGCATTTTAAAACTATCGACAACTTCGTGGTGTTGATTTTTCGATCGCATCTAACCTCACTTTCCAAAAGAAGTATAACTTCAATAATATATATATTCATCGAATTAATACGAATTAATATTTATTAACATATATTATTATTATTATCTTCTCTATCTCTATCTCTCTCTTTTAGCATATAGTTTTTATAATATACGAGTATCATGTATAAAAATGTTTCGTATGATGGGCTTGTTATGGGTGTCAAAAAGTGAAGATAGTTAGAATCTCGTGAAAGTATCGTTGAAAGGGATCCACCTACCTGATGATCTAGTATGGCTTCGATATCCCGTAACTGGATGCTTCTCAGTGCAGCAAGCTCTTTCAACCTTTCTCTTACGCCTCTGTAAAAAAAAAAAAAAAATATATACGTTAGTATTAGAATGCATTTGTGTTATACGATTGTGTGTATAGGATTAATACAATATAAACGCGATGTTATTATACAAGGATAAATAATTTACATTTACGTAGGATATTTTTTACTTCGTATTATTTATCGGAACGCAATTTTTTGTTTTTTTCCTTTAATTGATTTACTTTTTTTTATCTTCTCCCGCGCGTTTGTAATTTTTTTGTTTTGTTATTTCACTTTCTTTTTTTAATTTGTTCCTTTTTGTTCGTTTTTTTTTTAATATATTCTTGTAAATAAATAATTATAATAATAAGAAGAAAAAAACTATTTGTTAGCTAATAACCTAATAATTAAATAGGTTATTGATAAATTTACAATAACTTATATATCGATTTATTATAATATATAATTTATAGATAATAGTAAATAGAAAGTCCTTGGGATATCTTTATATTATGGTATTTAAATGAAATCATTTTAATCCTTGAAATGCATACGGTTAGGAAATATTATTGTAATAACATTGAAATATTGATAAATGTGCAATATTAGACAAGTAATTTTTTGTTTTTTTTTTCATTAAAATGTTACAAACAAAATTTTCATTATATCCATTTGACGTTATTTCTCTTTAATATATATTTACTAATTAATTAACTTTATATAATAATAACGATAAAACTTTTACTTTCTTTCCTTTTTTTTGTTTTTTTCTGATAGAAATTTCTTAACGGATCATTCATTTATTTTTACATTGTTATTAAAAATATTCGATTTAAAAAAAAAATATATAATAAATCATTCTCTCTTGTACAAGCGTTTTAATCGTATACTCGTATTTTAAAAATATTTGTTGTGTGTTACGCGTTTATTTTATTTTATTTTAATATTGAATATATAATATTTTTTATATATAAAATATTGTTACCTTTCGACAGCAATAACCCAACCATCTCGTATCCGTACAGCATTTGGTCCATCCAGCTCTTCTAGCAAGAATTCAACAAGTTAATTACATATAAAACATTTTTTTATTATGAATAAACAATTTATAACAAAAAAGAAGAACTTCCCCTAATAAATCGATAAATAATAATTTTTAACAAAAGAATATTCCTTTCAGTGAAATCCTTTAAAAATATATCTTAACGAATAAATATAATAAATTCGATTAATTAATTATTCGAATTACTTGAACGTTTTCTCCCCACCCACCTCCCCAATAAAAGGACAAAACAAACGAAAAATAGTTGGCATAGGCAAGTAACCGACGAGTTACTATTAATAGTTTAAACGATCGTCTAAACGAGAGAAGAACACCGATTAGATCTATATTGGTATATCGAATTAAATAATAAATAAAAAACAATTGTAATAAAATATTATATTCAGGATGAGATAATAAATGTTTGTTGTTGTTGTTTTTTTTTTTATTTTATACACAAAACCTATTAATAATTTATATATTCCTATTTTTATTTATTATCGTAATCGTTATTTAAGATAATTTATATTTTGTACAATTAAATACGAATAATAATCAATTGGCTTGTCGTATTAAAAAACGAATAAAACACACACACACACAATTCTTAAATAATAATAAAATAATATTTTAAATATTGTAAGTATATATATAGTTAAATCAAATGAT